ATTTAATAACTTTGAATCATCATTTCTTTGTGACCTGATGAATTAGAGATATTATTCCTATTTAGAAGTAATAATTTAGATGTTATTGAGAAGGGGAAAACAGTTTGTCATATTGGGCAAGTTTTGCCTTAAATCTTTCCTGTTAAAGGAATGATATTTTCATTCAAAAAGTTTTGGATATTGGGAATGTTGGATCTCTGTTTAGAGATATTTTAAAGAAGTGAGAATTTTTGGATATACTTCTTTATATATGATATTGAAAACTGCATATTTGTTATATTACGGTATCTTTCTAAAGCCAAGATTACATTATCATATTTTGGTGTTTGGCACCCTGCATTTTGCAAACAGGGGATTTACTCACTAGACYCGTATGGTCTAACCCTCATTTTCTGTTTAAAATATTGCAATGCAGGAGTAGCGGGATCCGGGGATATTAAAGGGAAAGGGAAAATGTGATAATTTTCCTAATCTGTTTCCTGCTTTTGAAGATACATGTTATATTACATGTAGTAGTACATGATTTGTTTTGGAAAATTTTGTATGTAGATTTTGTACATATAGAAATCCTTGTACTAGTGGGACCTTGTGATGTAATTCTTATTTCTATGTAATGAAATATATGTTCTATGCAAATGTGGAGTATGGGGGTGTTACAACAGACTCTACCAACACAGGTTTTAGTTCGGATTAGAACTCGGTCCAAAACAAGAGTAAATCCAGATTGCAGATTTTTGTTGGTGTGTTGAGATAAACCTTGACAACTTCTGATTCAAAACTTAGTGCATCCCCTTGTTCTGTAAATCACTCCCTCTTCTGCAAATTGTCAAGATAATCCAGCTTCTCCAATCCTTCCACAATACTGGATGCAAATCAGAAAAACTTAAAGACAAAGTGGCACTGAAGTCAATATGGAGTAGAGCAACAAAAATATGCAAATCTATTTCACTTGGGAACTTCCTTCGAAGGCACCAAAGACTCTGGTAATAAGAACAAGATTTACACCAGCTGCTACAACCTTAACACCTTCTGTAATAAGACCTTGGTTGTGGCAACGCTCCCCAAATCAGGGCAGTCACGCTCCCATTCTTGGAGTGCTGAATATCACCATAACAGTTTACAATTATACAAATCTTGTTAAATTGCTTGAATTCACTCATGCAAAATATGATGAAAAACAAACTCAGATAGTGGACTGTAATGCTTTAAACTGAGCAATTACTGATTTGCTGATAACATCTCTGACTATCACCATTCCAACATTCTCTGCATCAGGTAAACGGCAGTTAGGCGTTCCATGTTCCTTCAATCTAGGGTATAGCTCCTTATAACCAATATCCCCAAGAGTAACAATTCCTACAGCAAGCTGCTTGCTTGATTGTTTTGCATAGTGCACAACAATGCTCCCATTTGAACCAGAGGCGGCAAAAGTTCTTGAGTGAGTAAGATGTTGTGGGCTCACACGGGTATTTGGCAATGCAACAACACTACCACTGTAAGCAATCCATCTAGGACCAACAGCAAGAGGCCCCAAGCCTATATTTTCAAATCTTGTGGAGCTCGTTACTGTAGGATTTGTGAGGATAGTGTACTCCCTTTCTAAAGTTGCAACGTCAAAACAATGTACCTGTGCGGCTTGTAAAACAACAACAATGCGGGAACTGCATCTTACTAAGTAAAACCCATTACAAATCCCATCTGTAATACTCRAGCTGCTGTTGATGTTGCCTTCTCATAGTTCTTCTCAGCAAATGATGAAGCAGTTATCGCCTTTCCAGCAACTTATTGAGCGATAAAGTGTGAAATCAAGCAAGTCAATTTCCCAAATCCAAATCTGGCGCTTGTGAGCGATAAACTAATCCGGCTACTGTTGAGCGATTTAATGTCTAAACAATCAACCAAGTCTAAACCGATTGATGTTATTGAGCAATTTAGATAGAAATCAGAGAAGGTAACAAGCGATTTAGGTAGAAATCGGAGAAGGGCTGACCTATTTAGACTTGGATTTCACTGGATTGATTGAGCGATGAATGCAACAAACGACTAAGTAATTGAGCGATTCATGATTAAATCTTTGAACGATGTGAATGATTTACCTTAAACCCGGACAAGGATTGAACGATTTAGGCTAGAAATCGGACAAGCCTTCAATTGATTTACACATAAATCGGACAACCTTCAATCGATTTACTCAGAAACCGGACAACCTTCAATCGATTTAACCCTTATCCGGACAAGGCAATGAGCGATTTAACTACAAGGTCGAGCGATTTAGACATCCGATTAAAGAGAGATGCGCCTGTATTCGATGAAGGAGCGATGAAGATGATACAATAGAATGGGCTTAGTTTGAGCGATTTAAGTAAAAAAAGACAAGACAATAAACCGGATGGGCCTAATCCAGATGGAAGAAAAAAAAATAACAAAAACACACAATCAACGAAATTATTACCAAAAAACAGATCAAAATACTGATTTAAAAAAATTCAAGAACATAAAAAAAATTTAAAAAACTTTAAAATGATTAAAACTTGAAAATAAAATGATCAAATCACAAAAGTTTGTGAATAACAAAGATTCACAATGTAATTCCGTACAGATTGATCATTGTTTTAACACGAAAACACAAAAAAAATTCAAAAAATGGGATCAACATCAAGAAAAAAATTAAGAACACTAAGAACAAAAATGAAGAATAGTAACACAATCCAGAAAATTTCTTCAAAAATCTTCAAATCTATTGATTTCTTTTCATGATTTATTGCATATCCTGCCCTAATACCAAATTGTTGTTCCCTTAAAATCAATCTTCAAGTAGACATCAACAAATCTATGGCAGATCTAAGATATTCTATTAAGAACATATGAGAGAGATGAGAGGAGAAGTCAATCTTCAAAGTTTTGGTCAAATCTCTTATTACGTATCAGATATTACAAAATGAGCTCTTTTACAAAATTTCAAAGAATAAACCCTTTATATAGGGTCAAACATTGAAAGCCTAGTCAAAGTCAAACTACACTAGAAAAGTCAAACACGATGTCTATTTTAATTATAGATAATTTTATCTTTCAAGACGAATACAATTTAACACTAAAACTCAGTCCTAACATACACGAATTTAAACATAAAGCTTTAATAAGTTGTACTTACGCACAATTTACTTGTAATCTTGATTTTTAAGTAATATGCATCAATAAACAATACTTCATGCTAAAAAATGGTTTTTAAGAGTTTTTATCAAATGCTTTATAATATAGTATGGATAGAAGGGTACTCGCGCAATGTAGCGAAATACATCTCGATTTTAATGTTCTATTTTATTCTTTGTCTCTGTCGATATTATAATACGATTTTATGTGTTTGTAATAAAGCAATAATGATTTTATTTTTGAATAAAATATAAATTTGAAGATGTCATAAAATTTTGAAAAAAAAATATCAAAGTTAATATCAAATTAACTATTTAAAAATTCTCATTTTTATGTAATTTCTTTAATTTATTATAATTTAATTTAAGTTTAATAATGAAATAATTTATTTTTGGTTTAATAATATAATATTTTATAAATATAATAATTAAGTATTCTGTTAGAACTCAATGATTATCCTAATTATATTTTAGATTTTTTATATTTAAAATAAGATGTTTATCCTCTATTTGATTATGTTTATCTGCAGTTAGTTACACGAATTCAAATATGAAGTTTTAATGAGTTGTACTTACACACAATCTACTTGTAAAATTGAGTTTTAAGTAACATGTATTAATAAGCAGTAACATCTTAATGCATGCTGATTTATAATGTATGAACTCTGCGAAATCAATCTCATAAAAAGACTAAACATGCATATTTAAGTAACATGAATTAATAAACAATATTTTATTCATAAAAAATGGTTTTTAAGAATTTTTGTCAAATATTTTATAATGTAATATAGATATACGTAACTCGTTATCTTTTAAATCAATTAACCACCCTATTCTTTTCAATTTAAATGACATGTCGTTCTAATTACATGGCTAATAAAACCACTTACAATTTCTTTAATAATTTCTCAATTTCCTCCCGATTATTCATAGCCGTTCATATTTGTTTTTCATCCCTTTTGTAAAAAAAATCATTTCAAAAGAATCTTAGTTTTATTAAAATTGTATGTAAATTAAATATTTTATAATAACATCTATACTATATTATAAAACATTTGACAAAAATTCTTAAAAATCATGAATAGGAATAACGTGCTTCATAATCTTTTGGTTTCATAAAATCCAATCCTTTTTATAAGGTGGATAAGAACCGAACGTATTATAGGATATGGATATTGACGTGACCGTTTAGCTTTTGATATCAAATAGGAATAACGTGCTTCACCTTCATAATCATAATACATCATACAAAGTTATCTTAACTTGACCCCATAAACAAGCGTTAACTCAAAATATTCGAATAACCTATTTATTTATTATTCAATTACACTCGCTTTCATTTCACTCCGTTTGGACTCTTTTCATTTCTTGTCATCTATCTAACTTATCACCTAATTTTTATGAAACGTAGCTCGCTTATACGCTAGTTTGCCAAACAATACTACACTTCAAATATCAAGTGTTTGTAAACACGAGCATAGATCATCAGTCTGCCTAAACTATAATGGGAATTAACATCAAAATTCTCAGTTCATCTCGCGATTAAGCGGTCCATTTCAACCAAATCACTTTCTCCCCATCATCTACGAGATCCGGTGAGTGAATAAAATTGGGGAATCTCAGCTTGTCCATAACCCCCGATACCTCAAAAGAAGATCCTTAGGGGAACTTTCCATGAAAAAATATGAACGTTTTAATGAATGGACCAAAGAAGTAATTTGCTCCTACATACCTGGAGCAACCCTTTTGCAGGAACTTAACCATTCTGAAAATCGGGTAGTTCTAACCGTATGCACGTATTTTTGCCATTCAATATTCAAAGATAACTCACTGAAGCATCAAGGTCTGCTGCTAGAGGTTCCATCAACCGCTGCTTTCTTTCCTGTGTAACGCTACAAACAGGTCGACACATCCCAATCACTTATGAATGCTAAGGTTACAAAATTGGCTACAAAGTATTGTTATAGTAACTGCTTTTACATACAAATTAGATAAACCAAACAAAACCAATATATCCCACCCTAAGGTGGGGTCTAGGAGCTAAGATGTACGCAACCTGACCTCTACTTTAACAATGTGTTTTCAAATTCTGAAAAACCCAAAAAGAAAGAACCGGAGGGAAAAAATGGAAATGAAAAGAAAGAAAGTTATTATTTGTGTTCTTGAGAAGGAATGGAAATAAAACAAATTTCATGTTGTCATTGTTACAAATATACCATTTATATTTGTTTTTCTTACTTTTCCTTATTTTTAGATGAGGGTATTTTTGTCGTAACAAATTTTCAGACTTTCTTCCCTTCCCTTCCCTTCCCTTCCTTCCCACATTTAGGAGGCAAGATATCATTTATTTTCCCTCCTAAAATGTTTCGAGAACACTAGGTTTTTTTTTTCACCTCCTTTCCTTCGTAAAAATGTTTGGAGAACACATAAAAAATAGAGCAGTTGTTTTTGTGAAGATCACCCGCTAGTGAGAAGTGTGTGAAACAATGAAAGTGAGAAACAGATAAACTAAAGTTAGAAAAGCTAGGTATGAGTAAGCAAAATATCAATACAAATAGAAAGAGCAAAAGGCAGATATGCTAAATTTTGAGCAAATAGAGGTGGGTAAGCAACACAACAAAATAAATAGAAGCAAATATGTTGGGTTCAATGTTGTGCTTTAATGTCGTATTCAAGCAGGTTTCTCCTATTTTGTAATAGTTAGTGTTTAATGCTTTCTTAGTATAAATAGGGTTGCTTAGTGATGTAATTAGGTGTTGAGCTAATTACTTTGTAATCACTTTTCAAGAAATAATATTCAAACACTTGGTGAAATTCTCTCTCTACTTTGATTCTACTCTTGAGAAAGATAATCTGATTGCATGATATTTGGGAATTACAAAATACAGGAAAAAGAAAACATAACCAAGGTATGGAAACTATACCCCTAGTTTTAAAAAGGAGAATTTGTTGTTACCTGCTTGCCAAAAGAGAACGGAATGTATCGATACTTGATCATGTGCATTATTTGTCTCTTCATCGTTGCAATAAATAGCACCATCCAATAGAATAATAAAATTGGCCAAAATACAGGCACATCGAACATACCGAAGAATGTGAGCACAAAAGCAATGCAGAAAGCTTTGGTGATTGAATACCTATACCAGACCAGAACAACAGATCCCATAAGAAAAGGGGAAAACATTAAAGTAACTTCAAGCTCGTTAAAATTACAATTTGAAATGGTCATAACTCATAACATTTTGAAGCCAGAAATCATTAATTAGAAACATTATAAAATGCAATCCAGCAAGAAATAGTTATAACCAGGCTTGGTGAAGTTAGATATGCAGCTGAATGCAACAAAAACCAAGCAAATATCACAATTTGATGAACCAAACATCAACAAATGCATGTGTTTTACAATGAGAAAGGTGCAATGAACCCTAATATACGAACAGTGAGAACTTATTATAAAGAACACTTCATATCACATCAAGAACAGTATCATTTGTATTTGATTACTAATAGGCAAGAAAACAGATCAGCGTACTGTGCTTCTGCAAAATGAAACAATTTTTCTAGCAGAAAAAATGATGTACCCTCAGTCAAAAGAACGACATTCAACAATTTCTGAGGGTTTCTGAACTGTCAGATCGAAGGCCATGAAAGAATACGACATCCAACAATTTCTTAGGGTTTCTCAATCAAATCATGTCAACTGCTAAATAATTCTACAATGAATTTGGGTGCATCCCCAAATGAATAGGCACTCCAAGACAAAACACAAAAAAAAAAAAAAAACCCATCAATTTACGCACCAGAACTTAAATTCAGGAAGACGGCGAACAAAGGGACGGAATTCTTCTGATCCATGGGTAGGTAGGGAAGGGCCGTCGGAGATTTCTTCGAGTTCGGGATCGACCTGAGGGGAAAGGAAAGCGAGGAAGAGCTGTAGGATGTAAATCCCAAGGGCGTAGGTGATGATGTAGTAGCCTTGGACAAAGTAAACACGGAGGGCGTAGATGAAGAAGACGACGGTGAAACCGATCCACCGGTGGAAAACGAGTGGAGTCGACTTATCGAGGATATATTGGTATCGTCGCGATAGGGTGTTGGTCCATTCCGATATGCCGGAGGATTTGAGATCATTGTCCCCTCCGACATTCATATTTCGTTTTGTTTCGTCAATTTCAGATTTCTTTGGATGATCGATGGAAAATGGTGGAGGAGGAGGACGGTGGTACGTGGTGGAGAGAATGGTTCAACCGTTCAGGTTGGGTGGTGGATCTGGGCCTCCGACGATTCAACCTACGTTCTCTATGTTTAAGAAATAAATGTAAAATAACTATTTCAATTAATTTTTCTAAATATTATTAAATTTTTTTTTATTTCATATAGGCATAAAAATATTAATCAAATTAATGGTCTATTTGTCAGCAGATTAGCGAGTTTAATAAGATTGTTATTTTATTCATTCAATTATACATGATTGTTTGATAGTGATTTAATGGTAGACATTGACTTACTTAAGAGCCGTTTACCAAACGCTTACTCAGGTAAGCGCTTACCAAGTCATATTACCTCACCGGATGAATATGATGAGGACCAATAATCTTACCCGGTAAAAGCGAGACAAGGACCAAGAGTCTTACCCGGTAAGTGAAGACGACGACTCTTACCATGGTAAACACTTACCGGGTAAATTGTTGTATGCGATGTCATTTTGGTGGACTAAATCTTACCCAATAAGAAAATAATAATGTTAAATTTTATTGGTAAACACTTACCGAGTAAGTATTTGGTAAACAGCCCCTTAGTAAGCTTCTACAAGGAGCTCTATACATAAAAAAAATTAATATATTAATTATTTATGATTTACATAAAAATGATGGTGGGTTTTTATTAGAATCGTTTACCCTTGATTACTTTTATATGATTTTTCTTGACGTCGTAATAAGTTTTGTAAGACACTTTTAATATAAAACATCTCATTAGCAATTTTATAGGACATTATTTGAAAAACTGTCATATAAAAACAAGTATCCTATAAAAAAATTGAGTTTATAGGAAACTTTCTCAAAAATGTCTTGTACAGTTGCTAATGCGACAATTTTTATTAAAAATGTTCTAAAAAACTTGTTAAAACGTCCAAAAACGTCATATAATGATATAAACTTATTACAATGCCTTTAGATAGGACGCTTTATATTTTGGTTCTATAAATTAAGTCTTATAAAACGGTCTATTGTGACGTTTAGAGATTATGGACGTTCTATAGACCCAATTTTGTTGTAGTGATAGTTTGTTTTCATGCTTCTTTTTAATTTATGTTTTACATTGAAGGTCTTCAAGAAAACAAACTCTCTACCCCTTAAGATAGAACCAAGATCCATATACAATCTATACTCCGGCAGTCGGGCCCTGGGCTCTATTCCGCATGAAATTTACTTGAATTTGTTCATTTGTTCAGTTTGGTTCTTGTTAATTACGTCATCACAAGTATCATTAGGCTTTTCCGCAAATGTAACATTTTGCCAATATTGAAGATGATATATTTACTCTCCGTAGCATAAACGATTTTATGGATTCAACTTCTCCTTTTTAAAATCGTAATATGAAGTTATATTTTATTAAGTAACAAACCTTGGAATTTGTTTGTTAGCAACTTAACGAGCTTAACGAAACTCACAACTTATTCGGTTAGTTATACATGATTGTTTGGTAATGACTTAATGATATAGAAATTGACTTATTCAATAAGCTTTTTTGGAGGGTATGCAGAGTCAAGTTTTTTCCAAACACGACATCCCAATTAAAAACACTCTTTTTCTATCTATGAAAAATCCTCAAAAAAAAAAACCTTTGCAATTTATACAAACAAATTAATTCTCATAAACAACTTTATTCATACAGTAATTTCACAAAAAAACAAACAAAACAACCCTTTAAAATTCAAAATAGAAAAAAGTAACGTGTCTTATACTTCTCATAAATCGTTGAAACAAAAAAATAGAAAAAAAAAATACAATTTACCTAATTAAAGGGTTCGTTTACCTAAATGCTTACCCGGTATCGCTTACTATTAGAAGTCAACACTGTAATTTATTTTACATGGTAAAATTATAGTACATCAAAATGACATTGTATGCAACAATTTACCCGGTAAGCGCTTACCCGGGTAAAAGTCGTCACCCTCACTTACCTAGTAAGACTCTTCATCTTTATCATTCTCTTATCGATAAGATTTTTGACCCTTATTGTATTCATCCGGTAAGGAAAATTACCCAACAAGCACTTACCAATCATTTAGTAAACGACCCCTAACATGTATTAAAATTCCTTTTAGTTTTCAGAAAACATAAACACTTATTGGACACTTTTATAGTTGTCCCAATGACGATTTCAAGAATACAAACAGCAAAGCAGAAATAAAATTCGTAGCAAAGGCTCAATGTGGTCATTAATGTGGACACAAAAGCAAGAAATCACCAAATGTGCCCGGATATTTTATTCGACATTAAGAGGTTTCGTAATATCAAAACTCGATTCTAAAACATCTAAGATATACTTCTACGTACCATATAAGCCAGCATATGGGTTGGCTTATTCGGGTTGAAGACATTTCAACAATCCAACATAAAGTTCATGGTTTGAAAATTTCAACCCAAACTTTACCGGTTGGATTGGGTTTGTCTGGTTGATTAGATTGAAACTTTGATACATTATTTTACAATCTGGCTGATCGGTTTGTTTAAACAAAGTAAAATCAAAATGAAAACATACAAAAAAACCTAACAAACTCAAAATAATTGAAAGTTCATGTAAATAAAAAAAGTAAAATTACGGTTAAAATTGTAATATAATTTTGAATATAGTTAATTAATTACGGGTTGCTCTAATATGTAATGTGCATACATTAATCAAGTACTTAACAATCATATTAAATCTATTGTATAGAAAAGCATCAGATTCATTGAGTTGGATTGGGTTCAAATGATCCTAACCCTATAGATGTGGTTTGACATGATTTTATATCAACTATGTGTTTTTTGAGGCTGGGTTAGCCTAGTTTGTTGGTTTTTTTAGCACCCCTAGTCCGACTTATTTACAAAATATGAGAAGCAGATAAGTATGACTAATAATCTACTTCCAAAGTAGCAAGGGGCCAAAAAACCATTAAACCTTGCACAATTGTTACCGTTCGTCGATGGACAAAAACGAATACAAAACGTTAAAAAGACAAATCAAACAAGGTTGCAAAAACATCATTCAAAACATGCAACTTGATTAAAACAAACAACAAAGCCGACAAAATTATCCAAAAATTTCAAAACTAATCACGGGGATGAGATTGTCGATACGAAACCAGATAAACGCTAATTAGCTAAAGAGCAAATGGCATAGCAAAACATACTCAAAATTAAGTCTTGAAATCTAAGAGCAGATCGATGAGAAAATCCTCTTCAAGAACGCACAGGAGCCGGACCAGCAGCACCACCTGGGCGGGGACCTTGCCCAGGCTTTGGAGCATCATCCTAAAATAACCAGAAAGAACATTCAATTACCAAAGAGACAGCAGCAAATCACTGTGAGCAAATAAACCAAATATCATTGCATACAAGAACATTCGGCACAAAATAAACAAGGGCAACATGAAATGAAGCTCAATGGATATAACAAAAAAGTTTCAAAATTTTCCTATTGTGTACCCATTTTGAACGGGTAACCTACTAATTTTGCAACACTTAATGACGTACATGTCAAGTGTATCGTCCACTTCATGTATCCACATCATCAAATGTTACAACTAACGAGATTCTCAGTCAAACTAGATAGATATTATGAAACTTTGTTAAATTGATTTTGAGACGAAAAGATTCTTCGTTACACCAAGTAGGAACTAAACCAAACTTTATTTGCATTTTGACCTATAAATAATTATACTGTCACTGGAGTTCTATGTTACCTGTCAAAACAAAATGCACACGAGGTGGAAATAAAGTGCATATCAAATGCATGGGCAGATCACACAACTTAAACATTAACTGTATAGAAAACTCCTAATTTACTTGTCAAATAGAAAACCAGACGGCAGTTGGACATTCACAACACTACTAAACACCTTGCAAAAACTATGAACACAGGATTTTCACACAAGAAAAACCATTTCAGGAATCTGTAGTGGATGAAATATCAATTATAATGAAGTAACTAAAAAGGATAAGCAACATACCCTTGGACGAGAGAATCTCTTTGGAGGCTCACGGTTCCTCCTGTCAGTCCGAGAGCGGACCCTGACAACCTTAGAGTGAATTGCACAAGAAACACAATATTGCATCTTCACGTACAACTTGGGAAGAGTGTACTCTACAAATAGAATAACTTATATGCTTTAAGCAAATTAACATTAATATCTAAAGCAACCATAAAGCAAGTCATACTACAAAAACTTACGGTCAAAAGCACAAGCTTCTTGAACGTCCCTAACAGCAGCTTGTTCAACTATGTTCCTCACAAGGAATCTCTTGATAGCCTTATCCTGATATCAACAAATGAAATTGGTTAAATGGTAATCAATGTTAATGCCTTAACGCCCAACGTAAGAAGCAAGAATACAATCTCCAAAAAAAAACAGGATATAAGAAAAAGGCTTCTGAACAGAATCATTTAAGTACAAGTAGCTCACTGCAATTAAACACAATGACAACTGATAAATTTTGGTGCACCGCTCAGCAGGTTTACAACAGAGAATTGCAAGCCCATATTCTTGATCATTTATCAAAAAACTGCTTAATAGAAGGGTTTAACCATTCACAGTTTTATATTTTTCAAGAAATTTTGTCATTCCTTAATCCCACAAAAAATTGCAATATTTGACAGCAGATTAGGTTTTAATATTCGATAATGGTCAAACGTCCTTTGATAATAAGAAATTTGATAACACTTAAAGACAAAGACAATAACATCATTCATTGCAATGACAATGGGTAAGGTGAATAAATAATTTTAGATTCAAATTTGGTAAAAAAGAAAGAACAAAAGTTGCAACTTAACGAGGACTTGTTGGTCATTAGAGGTATATTTTTTGTTTGACGACAAAAATAACGCATTTCACAGGATTATTTTTTCAAAAAATAAAATAAAATTTAGAAATGGCAACCGGGTGGGTATGAGACCTGAAACTAAATCCCTTATATTCATTTCAAATTCCATGATTTCGAGAATGTTGCATCACAACATATTTTAAAAGAAATGCTTTGGAAATTGTAAATTGCGTTGAACTATTTGAATGTTAAATGAATGTAAATACAAAACATTAGATACAATCAAATGTTCTACACCAAAAACTAGGCAACAGCAAAAGCCTAAATGCCTAATCCATGCACTCTTTCTAATAGCCACACTCCCCTCTAATATGATTAATTTTCCAGGGCTAGTTATAATTGCTCAAGAAAATTCCGGAAATCTTCCATCAGAACTGTAATCTACAATCAAATCTGCAGATGGTCTCAAAATGGATTCGAATAAATGTGGATAATGAACGAAAGTAAATAACAACCAACAAATGCAATCAAGTTTCTTATGAACACAAGAATTCACAAGCAAAATCCAGTATCCCTCCCAAAATTATCCGTAACGCAAGACATCGGAGGCAATATATTCATCCATAAACAATTTAACACATGATTATATAGATTTTATACGGAAAACACTATTCCATATTTCTATATAACCTCAATTTCACTAATTACAAATAAATGTAACAAGAAAAAACAAAGTAATAAAAACAAAACCGATAAGCGAGAGGAAGATGAGACCTTTGGACAACATTTACCGCAATTGGAGCACCGAATGAACTTGACATGGCCACGACCATGCTTGTTGCGTCCGCCATTTCTTCTCTTAAAAGTCTACACATTTTTTCAAAAGAAGAAATCAATCTACTGAAAAGTGACATCACATTTATCGACAACGGTGATCGAAAAACACGACGAGCTCGCAAAACTAACCATATCTCCGAGATCCTTCTATGGCTCCAAGTCGAGAAAGCGTTCCGCCGTCTGCTCTCGGTTCTCAGATTAGGAAGAGTAAACTACGAAGCGAGGTTTTTATAAGGTGTATCGTTTGAAACCCTACGTGGCCCATTGGACAACATGTCCGGCCCATCAACTAATTGGGCCTATCAATCCAGAAACCAACTTTAATGTGGACACTTTATAGTTTATACTTTACGAGTGTATACCCGCACAATACAGAAGGATATATCAATCTAAAGTCGAGAACTCGAACCCTCCATCATGTACATGTTTCATTCAATTCTTCGCCCGTCTTGATCTTTTACTTTTATGGTTCTCTAATTGCAATCAAAACCCAATCTATGATATATCCTATGTGATAAAGTAAAAACCTTTTGATCTGTTGTCCCACATAAATTCAAGATTAATATGGTTACCCGTTTAAAGATTTGGGAATAGAATAATATGTTATAAAATTAAATATGTTATTAAAATTGTACATGTATAATAACATGGTATAAAGTTGGATTTTAAAAGATTTATTGAAAAGGTATAGATAACCGGATATTTAAGAGTATATTTATAACTAAACTCAAATTGAAATCATGATGGAAATTAATTGCTATAAAATGATAAAAAAATATTTTATGAAATAAAAAGAAGGGTGAAGATTGAAGGGGATGAAAGAGATTTGAATTCATTTCAACTGTTAATTTCTTATTTTATATAAAGAAAAATATTACCATGTTATTTCTTGTTTTACATAAAGGGTTACTATTTTAGAACCAATAACCACAGAGTAAATAAATATTGCATAATACCATTTGAAATGAAGGCAATACCTATTTAGGCTAGCCTTTTGTTTTCAAGCTTAGCAAATACTTTCATATGTCTATTACAAATACTTTTAACCACATAAACTAAGCAAGTGATACCACGCAAACTGCTCAAGTGAAAATTGCAAGAACACATCTTATGCAAGTATTTTTTTTTGGGGAAAAAGTGGACGGAACCCCCGAAAATTTATTGAAATAAAAGAAAATTACAATTGTGAAATGGGCAATACCCATTTTTACAAGATTAAGAAAACAACCTAAAAAATGTTTGGGAAACACAATTAATAGAGGCCTTATAAAATAGCCCCTCTTAGTAAATAAAGCCCAAATCTTAACAAAACCCAAGACATTCCCCATCCTGTGTTATTTAATTATTGTTCTCAAATGAACCTCTCACTCTCTCTCTCTATGTATGTATGTATGTATGTATGTGTGTGTGTATGTATGTATGTATGTATGTATGTATGTATGTGTGTGTGTGTATGTATGTATGTATGTATGTATGTATGTGTGTGTGTGTATGTATGTATGTATGTATGTATGTATGTATGTATGTATGTATGTATGTATGTATGTATGTATGTATGTATGTATGCATGTGTGTGTATGTATGTATGTATGTATGTATGTATGTATGTATGTATGTATGTATGTATGTATGTATGTATGTATGTGTGTATGTATGTATGTGTGTATGTATGTGTGTGTATGTATGTATGTATGTATGTATGTATGTATGTATGTATGTATGTATGTATGTATGTAGTACTAGAGGTGTACCCACGCGATGCAGCGCGGGTGAAACACAATTCTTAAACATTAATCTGATCTTGAATCATGAATTTGTGTGGTTATTTTGCAAGTCAACCAAAATATGCACATAATAAGCATATGCTATAATACTTCATACTAAGGGTCTGTTTGCTAGCAGCTTAATGATACTCGCAGTATTCTATCAGCAATGCATGACTGTTTAGTAGTTTCTTAATAATATAGAAAGTGGGATGTAACTAAATATTATGTACTTTAAAAATAACATCAATAGTTATCGTTATACTATAAGAGTGCGATGTAACACAAAGAAAACAGAAAATCTCGAGCAAGACTAAAAAACATAGCCTTGAGATAAAATATCGATTCGATTAGGGATGGTGATTTGCCCCGACCCGGTGGGGAACCCGGTTCACCCGACCCGAACGGGGACGGGGATTCCCCGCTAAAACGGGTCCCGGAGCCGGGGCCGGGGATCCCCGGTAGACTCAAACCGGGGACGGGGAATGTTACTCAAAACGGGGCCGGAGTCGGGGCCGGGGATCCCCGGTACAATCAAACTAAAGCATACTTTTGACCGGGTTTTGACCGGGGATTGACCGGGGTTTATCGGGTTTTGACCGGGGATTGCTAGAATTTGACCGGGGACGAGATGATAATCCCCGTACCCGTCGGGGACCGGGGCCGGGGGACGGTATTACAAACCGGGGCCGGGGATTACAAAACCCGTCCCATCCCCGCCCCGTTGCCATGCCTAGATTCGATCCCTCTTCTTTTTAACCATTAATTCGGCAATTTCTAATTTACAACAATTATTTGTATTCTTGTTTCTGACTACTTATCTATCATTCGACACATCTTGAGCTACAAAATCTACATAATAACTCATTTTCAACCATTCGTTATCCAAATATCACAGTTATTACCATTCTAAGAGTTTATGTAACACAAAGAAAACAAAGTGTTTGCTAAACTTGATTTAGAACAGGTTTTGAATGATATAAGACTAACAAAAGTATATGATTATGAGAAGCAATAACTAATGGACACAATGTATGCTTTTTTTGGGTAAAGGGGACGGAACCCCGAATTTTTTTTATTCAATTAAAGATAAAAATACAATTACGAGGGGCATACCCCAAGAATAAGAAAGAAATGCATCCCGAGAAAATGTTTTGAAAATACACAAAATAAAGGCATATTTCTATAAACCATTATAGCATTAGAAAACCAACAGACCAAAATAGAAACATATTCCATATGATTTATTGAATAAGAAACCCAAAATCAATACTTTGGCCCGTCCTATAGTAGCACATCAGCAACCCGGTCATTTAAAACATTGCAATCGAAAGCATTAATCCAAGCCCAATCCAGAATCATAATATCAACAAAGCCCATACAGATCATGGATTTAACAAAAGCCCATATTACCTTCTCAGTACAGGTCCCATCCCTCCATGAAGAACACATCAGCGAACCAGGAAGAGCCCGCCGTTTTGCACAATGATTCTCCTAGGAAGTTACATGGATTTTAAATCGATTCCATATCTCCATCTTCCTTTCCTGTTCGATTTCAATTTCACCATCACCGACGCCAATCATCTCAAACATCTCATATCTACATCTAGGGTTCCAAATCAACAATTTTTGTTGACCGAGAAATCGATCAAGCCCCTAAGAAGAAAGTAAAATTTATCCAAACCATTGAGTAATATGATCGATCATGGAGAGCATTTCTGATTCGATATGGAAGGGTATCGATTTGTAACAAGGAGAAGACAAGAACTCGACCAAGAGTTGTAGTTGAATCCTCCACCAATATCTTTCACTGTTAATTGGGATCCACATATTTGGAAACCAAACTACATATTTTCTCAAGACCCACTATTGAAAAAATTCCAACTTTATATTGGAACTGTTTTCTTTGTAAGGACCATATCGTTGAATTTTACAATACCTGTCAATTGCAATAAAAAACTTCCTTGATGATGCAGCATAGGGATAGCTGGTTGGATGCATCAATTGATAAAACAAAAATCTAGTTATATTTATGAAACTAGGACTGATCCAAACATTTGTACACCAGCAGCCGAAAAACCAAAAAAATTGCAGCTTTTTCCTTTTAGCCTTTCTGAACTTGATTTTGGATGAGGTAATATGTAACACCCCAATCCACACATTGCATGTAACATATACTTCATACATAGAAATACATATTTATACACCACATAGGTCCCTTAGTACAAGAATTACCAGTACAGAATACATGGTCCAAAATTTCAAAATACAAATCTTGTACTGTTTCATATTCGGCTAACAAAACTATACATAACATAGCCAAATCTTCACGTAGATATACATATAGGGAAAATTTACATTTTTCCCTTTCCTTTACCATTAGCACCACCTGCAATACATATTTAAAATCACAAAACGAGGGTTAGACCGAAAGGTCTAGTGAGTTACCCTATTTATGTCATTGCAGGGTGATAACCACGAAAACTTTTAAATAAAACAACTTTTCATATATATATAACTAATATATGAACAAGTGAGAACACAATATTAATACCTTTCATCTTTCAGGCCAAACCTTTGCTTGTAAATAATACATCAAATCCAGACAGGTATCTAACCAAATAACATAATGCCACTTTTAAACCTTTTTACACTCAAACAAGGTTTATACAAAGCTTCAGGCCAAACCTGTTATCTTCTCCTTAATAACATTCTAACTATGATTTCTAATAAGAACTCTGATCCTAAATCTTTAAATCACAAAGAAATAAAGATTCCAAATCATAGTAATCTTAAGAGATATAATAATAGAAGTTATCTTATATAACACACACATATACAAATGCCACCCTTATATCCAGATGTACACCTCTCCTTGATATGCCACCCTTATCCCATGGTACACCTCTCCTTGTTATGCCACCCTTATCCCATGGTATACCTCTCCTTGATATACCACCCTTATTTCCTCATCAAAATATTTCACAAATAATTCCATATAGAATAGACCGCAGTCAATGGAATTTTTATCAGTTTCAAATTCATTTTATCAAAAAATTTCATTTCTTAACCAAGTGGCAAGTCAATACTTAATCCAGACAAAACTTTGGTTGGATTACAAATCCGGACAACATTAATCATATTGTCCGATTTAACATTGTAAAAGAATTTCAACACTTTTGTTCGGATAACAAATCCGGACAACACATCGCCCAAGGCCTGTCCGATTTAAAATAATCCGGTCAACACATGGTCGTATTCATACTTCTCCATTCAAAATATTTAATATAAACTCAATATTTATAAATCGCTTAACACTTGTCCGGTTTAAGACTAAATCGCTTGACTCTTAACCGGTTTAAGTCTAATCCGGACAACACTCACCAAGCGGTTCATTTATAAATCGCTCATGCCTTATCCGGTTTAGGGCTTAAATCGCTCAATCCTTGCCCGGTTTATGGCTAAATTGCCTAACTCTTGGCCGGTTTATAATTATCCAGACAATAGTTTTCAAAATCACAATCGTCTCAAAAGAATCTTCTCTATAGTTTTCAACCAACAGTTTTATCATTAAAACCTTTCAAACTCAAGAACAATCTATCTTTCAAAGATTTCCAAAACTTCATATCCCTTTTTAAATCCTCAAAACAGGATATCATTT